CCCTCCTGCTGGGCCACTCACACTTAGCCAAACAGACACATGGGTGAGATGGGATTCATCACACCAACCTTCCCCCTGCTCAGGGAGGCAGATCTGCCTGCACAGATGGGAGGTGTGTTCAGCCCTGCCCTTCTGGAGTGACACCACCATGCCCTTCCCTGTGAGCACACATCTTTCCTCTTTTTAGCATGGGGAAACTGGTTTTTGCTGGTCCCTGGCTTTCTTTTCATGTTTGTCTCTGGGAAGCAGCCTCAGGTACAGCTGTTGCTGCAGCGCATTTACCTCTGCGAAAATTCCTGCTTTGGTTTTGCAAGTGTTTTAATTAACGTACATTATTTTAGTACACTTTACTACTGATAGCATGTAATTATCTCCCCACAGGTATATATTTAGCTAACCAGCAGGCTGATCAAAGACCTACAAAATAAGGTTCTTTTGCAACTGACACCAGATACGAGCAAGATGGGACCAAAGGAGGAGGGAGGATTACCCCCCTCCCTCCCCAGTCCTAAACCTGGGGCTCAAATTTCTCCACTTGGAAAGATAATCATAACATTAACTTACACATTTTATCAGAGGAGCGTGAAGATGCATCAACATCTGAGTGCTGTGAAGGAGAAAAGAACTATGTACATGCTAAACTATTAATCATTGGTAAGTGATCTCCTCTGCAAAGTGTTTTGAGGTTGACAAAGGAAGATGGCTCTGTAATAACACAGAGCAAGCAATCTGCTTGCAATCACAGGTTAATTCTCTCAACTGTTTTTGCCATGTCAGTCCTTAGGCATTATTATCTCTGCAAGGCAATTCACCATTTTCCTGAGGAATTCTGGCCGTGGAAGAGATTCCAAACTCCATACCCTTTTCTTATCCTGTTCAATGCCTGAGTTTGCTTTCCACTGCAAGCACAGCTTTAGAGGAAGGAGGTTGAGACCTCTCATGATTTCTCTCTCCTTGATGCCTGCAGCTCCTTAACCTGTGCTGGTGGGGAGACATCAGATTGAAATGGGTGTTTTGGAGCCAAGAGGCATCCTGTGCCAAACCACATGTTTCAGAACCATATCTGGTCCACAAACCACCAAAGGTTTGATCCTTTATTAAAAGCACCGGCTGCTTTGTCATCGGTCTCAACGGGGGCAGGAGCATTTAGGTAAATCCTCGTCTCTTGACCTTCTTGAAGGCCACTCTGTGCCACCTCACACACCTATACACACTGTGTTTGCACATTACTGCAGAACCACTGAGCACCCAGGTGAGAGCCTGAGTTCTCAAAGGGTGGCACAAGGAACACGAATGATCCCAGCCTCCGAGGGAGGCTTTTGGTTTTCTTGTTTTTTGGCTTTCTTGTGCTTTTTAGTTCTCCTTTTCAGCAACTTAAAGGAAGAGTGTTACTTAACTTTTCAGGCCACAACCGAATCTCTGGACTGAGAGCTGCAATATCATGTGTTACCCTTGTTAGTGGAGGAAGGAAACCTCTTTCATATCCATTGACGTCTTTTGCGAAATAGTCTGTGTTGGTTTTTTTGAGTTTGTTTCTATTTCTACTTCTATTATTTCTATGCCATTACTTACGAACTTCACAGCATTTTCCTGAGACGTCTTCACTGAGATGAAAACCTCAGGGCAACACTCCATTAGGCTTTTATTTTTAGAGGTTGGGTTAAACCTTCTTGAAATTGGTAGGTTTCCTTTATTTAGGGTAGCTGAAGGAGACATTAAGTCTATTTCCACCCACATTATAAGATTACTCAAGAACCTGAAGGCTCTGGGAGGACAGTTTGGGGTAGGATATTAAAAGGAAAGAAGGTCACATGTGGATGGACTCTACAGATCAGGTGGAGGAAGAGAGACAGAAAGATGGAGAATTGAAACAGGCAGGGAACGGAAACTTCAAAGGGCCTGAATAATCATTGATATAAAACCTGGACTGAATACAAGGATTTGGGGTCACATTTTCTGCCAGGAGCAGGTCTGGAGCTCTAAGCAAGGAAACTGGCCCTCAGTGCCTGATTTCTTCTGTGTTCAGGAAAGAAGGGCTGTGAGCATTCTTGCAAGCAAACAGAGACACATCAGAAACACCTTCCTTTGTCACTCCTCCTCCCATCTGGGTCAACCAACAAGCCCCTGAATTTTGGCCAGCAGCACAGGTCAAAGGGAGGAAATGTGCTGCAAAACCTCCTGCACATCTGTACCATTTCACTCTTCCTGCCTGGGTCGGGTTAAGGTGGCATAAAGACACAGCCCTGTTCCTCTCATCTGCCAGAGGCTCAGGCCCAGGGTTGGGGCACTGCTGTCTCTGCATCGGGATGGATCCTCACTCAGGATTTCCATTCCTACCCCCAACAACCCAGATTTCCCCTGATCTTGCTGTGGGCAGTTTGAGCTCTTCTGCTCTGCAGGGAACTCCTTAAAAGGAGGCTCCCACCACTGGATTTCTTCCTGTAGGTGAATTAATCTGCCTTGCATAGGTAATCCTATTTAAAACAATAGGTTGCCTTGCAAGAATGAGGGAAGATAGTTTGGAGCACGATTTTCTGCAAGGACTGTAAAAAGGCCACAGAGTAGTTCATCAGGGGACACTTCAGCCATAAAATGATAGTTACCGGTAAAGTCCACTAATAAAATAAAAGATAATTCAATAAGTGGATTTTTAACCCATTTAACAGAGTCTAAATTTGGAAGCCTTTCTTCAGGTGATCAGGCACACTATGCTTTCCTAATCTTACTTTCTGTTATTAATTAAACTTAAAAAAAAAAAATCAAGCAGTAAACTATTGCTTCTGCTTTTATTTTCATGTTATGGGAGAGCAGTGTTCAATGTAAATAAATTAATTTTGGTAAAAGAGCAGGTGAAGCTGGACATGGAGACCAGCCTCTGAGTGAGATGTGTGACACATTGCCATATCTCTTGAGACAACACAGGTCCCACACCTCGACTGATTTAATACCAGTTAACACAACCCTGCAGATTCTAATCCAAGAATCCTGCAGTGGCAGGAGGGAGGTGTGTGGAATAAGTCTCTGTGACCTAAGAGCAGCAAAAGCTGCAGAGATTAGAGTTTATGTAGGAGCCCTGTGGGCTCCCCTCAGCGCCTTTAATTTAGTTTTCATCTCTGATCCGCTCTAACAGTCCTCTGTGGGATGGAGATTTCATACCCAGGAAACCTGGGGGGCTGGCTGACCTGCCAGGAGCTGCGGGGCACGGCTGCTCCCTGGTTACTGCTGCATCGCCTCGCTCCTCAGCTCCGGCACGACCAACAGCAACAAACCCTGACGCTGTTAGGAACCTGTAAGGGAGGATTTGAAGCCTCTAGAGGTCACTAAATGGGGACCGTGGCCGCAGCAGCTGCATCCGCTGCCCGCCAGTGACACCTGCTGGAGTCCCGCTGGGGTCCCGGGGCTGCAGGTCTGTGCCTGCTCAGGGCGGACCTTCTGGGGCTCTGTGCGCCCTAAACCACTCCCCCAGAAAGGCTCTGGGCAACGTGAAATAAATCTGGGTGGCTCTTTGCTGTTCTGCTCCGTGCTGGCGTGGCCTCACCTGCAGTCCCGGGTGTGGATCGGGCACACCACAATATAAGATATAAAGCTATTGGGAGGAGGGATATGAAGATGGGGAAGGGTCTAGAGGGGCCATATGGGGAGTGGTTGAGGTCACTCGGTCTGCTCAGCCTGGAGGAGGCTGAGGGGACACTCATCAGGGTCTGCAGCTTCCTCATGAAGGGCAGCTCCGATCTCTGCTCCCTGTGACCGGAGGGAATGGCTGGAGCTGTGTCAGAGGAGGGTCAGAGTTGGATCTCAAGGAAAGGTTCTTCCCCCAGAGAGTGCTTGGGCACTGAACAGGCTCCCAGGGCAGTGGGCACAGCCCCAAGGCTGCCAGAGCTCCAGGAGTGTTTGGACAGGACAGGGTGGGATTGTTGGGGGGTGTCCTGTGTGGGGCCAGCAGTTGGACTGGATGATCCTTTGTGGGGCCCTCCAACTCAGGCATTTTGATCCCTGTTGCAGGAAGGTAAATCTTGTCATTATCCACACATTAACTCTTCCACCCCTCTGGTTGTGCAGGTTTACTTACACCACATACCATGACCCAGCCTCTCTTTTTGCCTTTGACACCCTTCCCGAGGAGCTGTTGTAGAACACACTATTTCCCCACAGGGAAAAGTCCAGAGCGGGCACTGCAATGGGATTTCTTGCAGTACAATAAACGACAGCAAATGTCAATGTGTGTTGCAGTATGTACTGTCTATGCACTGTCTGTGAACTCACATTTGCAGTGTTAGAGCTGCAACTTCACAACACACTGGCAAAGGTTCTTTTGTGGGACATCGGCAGGACCGCTGATGGAGTCTCGTGATGCTGCTGATGAGGATTTGTGAATTTTTCCTCTGTATTCTCACAATATGAAGCACCGTCAAGGAGTGCACTAACACCCCACAGAGTGCATTGGGACTGTCCAAGGCACTGCTCTGCCCTGGGGCACTGGAGAACAAACACCCTGGGGCGTTGTTTGCCATCCCCTGAGGGAACCTGTTGGGGCAGGACTGGAGGGAAACCCCCACATCCCAGGACAGGGGGCCAGGCTGGCAGTGCCCCCCCCCGCTCCCCCAGCCCTCAGCCTGCAGCCCCCATGGGGAATTGACCCCCAGAGTTTTAAGGGGTTGGAATGGACCTTAAAGATCATCTCGTTCAATTCCCCTGCCATGGGCAGGGACACCTTCCACTAGCCCAGGTTGCTCCAAGCCCCGTCCAGCCTGGCCTTGGGACACTTCCAGGGATGGAGTAGCCACAGCTTCTCTGGGTAACCTGTGCCAGGGCCTCAACGCCCTCACAGGGAAGGATCCCTTCCCGATATCTAACCCGAACTCCCCTCTCTCAGCCTGTCCCCGTCACTCCGTGTCCCGCCCCTGGGACAGGACGAACCCCGGCGGTCCCCGCTGAGGGACCCGCGCCCTTCCCAAGATGGCGCCGCCCCCTCCCCGCCCCATCCGGGTCCTGCCCCGCCCTCCCTCCCGCCGTGCCCCGCTCCGGCCCCTCCAAGATGGCGCAGCCGCCGGGTGAGTGCGGGGGCTCCAAGGTGACCGCGGCCCCCTCGCCCCTCTCCCCTCAGCCCTCCCTCCCCTCTCACCGCGCTCTCCTCATCCCTTAACCCTCCCTCCCTCTCACCGCGCTCTCCCCCTCCTCCCGCCGCAGTTTTCCTCAAGGACACGAAGCTGATGGACGTGAAGCTGGGCCAGCTGCCCTCCTGGCTGGCCATGAGGGACTTCACCCCCGGCGGCATCGCGGGGGCCTTTCGGAGAGGTGAGGGGGGCGCGGGGGGTGAGGATCCCTGAATCCCTGGATCCCTTCTCCCGACGGAGCCAGGGAGAGCAGCACACGAGCATCTCTGGCTGCCGGAGCTGATCTTGGCTCGGGCGGGGGGTGGTTCTGCAGCGCAGGGGCTGCTCCACGGAGGGCTTTGCCTTCCCAGAGCAGTTTCTCCTGCAGCACCTCGTTCTCCCATTCTGTAAATTTGTTTCTCACGTGAACTTTATCCACTAGAGGTTTGTTTCCATCATTCCTTCTTGTATAAAGGGGAAATGGGGTGCCCTTAGTCCTGAACCCATTGGCTGAAAATCTCCGGGTTTCCCAACATCAAAGGTGAATTAAAGATAATTTTAAAAGCAGTTGATCCCTGCAGATGGTAAGAAAGGACACGGAGCACTTAGAAATCACTTGGGAAGAGTTCTGAGCAGTGTCCTTTGATGTAGGTATGGATGTCATTCAGGCAGATCCAAACACAAAATGTCAAATGCAAATGTATTCATTTGATAATACACGTGTATGTATATAATGTATGTGCACGGGTGTGGAAGAATTAGAGAACTCCAAAGCAGCTTGAACTCATGAAAGTAGATTTAAACACGAAATATCAAATGCAAATGTCTGCATAACACACATACACTAGTATGAAAGAATTAGATAACTCCAAAGTAGCTTGAGCTCATGAAGGTCACAATAATGTTTAGGAAAAAATGATAAATGGCTTCCCCCCCCCCCCTTTTTTTTTGTTTGTTTTAAGGCTTAGGGCTATTAACTTGAGATCACCTTGCTCATCTAACACACAGGCTGCCTCCTCCCAGGCTTGCTTCTGAGACTTTCAGAGGTGTTTCATTAGAAACAATTTTCCTTAAGTTCTGTGAACCCAGGCTGCTTCTTTCTGACTGAGGAAAAGCCCACAGCTCATCTGGCTGCTCTGAAAACTTCTCCTCTTCCCCAGGTTACGACAGATACTACAACAAATACATCAATGTGAAGAAGGGGGGCCTCGGGGGTGTCTCCATGGTGCTGGCTGGGTATGTTGTTCTCAGCTACATCTGGAGCTACAGTCACATCAGTAAGTAAAAACAAGGCTCTATGTGTGTGTGTGTGTGTGTGTGTAGGGCAGTTTGGAAGGCTGCTTGGGGCAGTAAAAACAATTCATCTGCTGCTGCTTTTAAAAATAAAATGAAAGATTGTGGGTGAACAAACTTAGCCAGAGAAACCTTGGTGGTTTACTTGGTACGTTATCAGCTGGCCGGTATTTTCTTGGTGAGGAAGAAAGTTCAGGTCTTGGTGCCTGTCTGACCTGACAGTACTTAAAAAACACATGCTCAGGGGTTTTTTTAGGGTGGTTTCTTGCTTGTAATTTCAGGGGTGGTGGGGTTTTTTCCTTGTGACTTGAGCAAAATTGACTTGCTGTGCTTTGCTGCAGAGCACGACCGGCGCAGGAAATACCACTGAGGCACCACCAGTGTCAGGAGGTGAAGGTGCAGCTCCTGAACAGCCCTGGCTGCTGGCACAGTTACCCTGACAGAAAAAACATCACAGCTATTCATGTTAAATCCGTGCCGTTGTGACCAATAATAAAGTGCTTACACTTTACATTTCCTGAGCTGACACTCTCCTTAATTGAGTTGTTAATTGTACTGCACATTCTCAGTTTCACCCCTCGGGGTAAGTTCAGAGGTGGCTGGGAAAGCATCTGCTCCTTGGACTGCATTATGAACTGGGGGAACTATTGCCCTTGATTCCTGGGTCATAAAACTAAAAGCTTCCTCCTGGCCCTTCCTGGCTGAGAGGATGTGTTTTGATTTGAAGGAATGTCTGAGCTGTAGGTGGCAGGTTGGTGTTTCTGGTTCTCAGTCAGGCTGTCCCAGGGTCTGCAGGTATTGGGGCAGCAACTCTCATTCTGTCACTGGGATTGTAATGCTCCTTGCCCTCAGATAACCCAGAATTTCTATCAAAACTCTACCTGCTTTCATTGCTAAAGCTGGGAGGTCCTTCTGAGTGGGTATAAACTCAAAACATCTCAGCCTGGCCACTGTTCAGTCTCTGGGGGCACAAAGTGTTAACCAAAAGTGTCTGATGGTGTGTGACCTTAGGACTTGAAACTTGCACAGTGACTGACTCCACAGTGAAATAACTGCAGCCATTCACACCAACACAGGCTCTTCACTTCTCTTAATCCAGCCAGATCACCTTGTTCTTAAAGAAAAATAAATTCACAGCCAGCTTTTGCCATCAGTACAATTCAATAAAAACAAAGTATAAAGGCAGGCAGCAAACGAGAGATGGGGTAGAATCAGTAAGGCTCACATTGTGGAGGAAACGTGGGGGTTTTTTTCTTTTTTTTTTTTTAAATTTATATTTTGTCATTGGCCCTGTAGAAATAAGTCTTCTCAAAACAAATGGGGTTTGGGTTCACCAAAAAAAAAAAAATTGCTCTCAAAAGAAATCTCTACCACTTTCAAAAGCAGTGTTTCATAGGAAGATACAGCTCCACTTCCAGCTCTTCTCTAGGCTGTGGGAATCCCTGCTCCGTGTGAGCTGGATGTGGGGGCTGAGAAGGCTCTTCTATTCCTACTCTTCAAGTCACACTCATTTCCCTCCTTGCTTTTTGCAAATGGAAACTGGACACAGATGCAGCTTTCCTTATAATCATTAGGATTATTGCCCTGTTCCTTACTGTCTGGCTGAGAGATTTTGCCAATTTTTTTCTCCCCTGGATTGGTTCTCATCCAGAAGATTTAATTTCTAACCTTCAGTACAGCAAGAAGCACAGAAACAAAGCAAGTGGACACGAGGTTTACTGCCTGATGTACTTGAAGTGTTAGGTCAGCCACCAGGACAAGCTTTACCAGGCTGGGCCTGGGGACATGACTTGGCTGTTTAGGAGCTCCAGGACAGCAGAATCCCTGTTTCTCACTGAGGAGAAGGCATTGCAAGTGTGAATTTTTCCCAGTCAGTCTTCCTGCTTCCACAGGGAAGGCTGAAACGCTGCAGGTTCTCCAGAGAGAAGTGGCAGAAGGAAAATACTTTTTTAAAGAAACGCTGGCCTAAGATGTGTTTACCTGGGGTGCTGCACCAGTAAGGGGTTGGTTTATCTACTGGCTCTTAGATCTACTTTTCATCAGGGCTCAATGAAAACAGGCGGAGGCCAAAATCGGTTTTTAAAAGGTTAAAACTTAAAAAAAGTTGGGGACAGTTACAAAAATGTTGCTTAGCAGCAGCCAGCCTCTGACCAGTTCTTTCAGTAATGGCATTAAAAAACAACCTGATTAATAGCTCCAGACATAGTGCTAGGCAGGAACCTTTCCTCAGTGGCAACAGCAACCTTGCACCTTCTGCTCCTTCACTGTCCACTGAGAAAGGCCAGATGTCCTTTGGTGCATCTGTTGGCATAATGACCTTTTTCTCCACACTGCAAGAGAAAGAGGGACAGGAATTACTACACAGTTACAGCTTTTTCCTTCTAGCTGCCTTTATTAAGGTAGCCAGCAACTGTTACCATTGGGAGGGAGCCGAGTGATGCCACTTTATCATAACCCCACTACAAAGCAGTGCTCACGACCACAAACAGCAAAGGGCTGTGAAGCACAAGGAGAATTTCAACATTTGAGGCTTCCAAAACTACTCCATCTGATATGCATTACATCAGAGACCCATGGGGACTCTCCTGATCTGCTGTCCTGAACTGAACAGAGGAAAGCACCTCTGAACTTGAGAAAGTCATGAACAGATTCATGGCTTTGCACCTTAAAGCTCTTCAGAGAATATCCAGAGAAATGCCAATATCTGGTGCAACACCATTCTCCAGATCTGTAATTTGCTTGCAGGTAAAATAAGAAGCAGCTGTTAAAGGTTTTCAGAGAAATGGATCCAGCTCTTTAACATCCCTATCCAACCATGGTGATTTTTACCCTCACAAGCACCTAAGGCATAGAATTCACATGTATAGTGTGTAACTGCCAGGGCTGATGGGACAGGAAGACCCTTTGCCATTTTCTAGTGCTGGAGTTGGGGCTTGTGGGGAAAAAAACCCTTTTGTTTTCCCTCCTCATCCCTCCCCTCTGAATTACCTTGTAGCAGGTGACTTGCTCCAGGGGTCGGGGTCCTCTGTTCCCAGTGTTGTTGTTTTGAGACTGCATGACTCCAATGACTTGGGGTGTCCTCTGTTGGTTTGGAGAAGAGTTCTGACTCGTTAAGTGCATCAAGGATAAAGATCTCTGTGGTTGTTATTTTGTTTAGAAGGGAAAAAAGAGCACCCCGTAATGTCAAATGATCAATTTTCCTCCAAATCTGTGTGTGGGTGCTCTGCCAGCTGGAGCACCAGAGAGAAGAAATCAAGCACCGAGCCTTACAAAGCCCAGAGATCCTGTTTTTTTTTTCTCTGAAAGCAGATTTGGAGAGTAGGTTTAGGCTGCTAAAATACCATTGCCATCACGGAGGGGTGTCACACAGATTACACAAACTGGCAGGCTGCTGCACAGCCACGTGTGGTGTGCCCCTGTGTCGCGTGGGAGCGTTCTGTGACCAGATCTCCGTGTCAGGTCGGAGCAGCTGTGGGGCTTTCACCACCACGATGCTCACTCCTTAATTCTCCCTTCCACACCCAAGAGCCTGGGTGCCCAATTCTGACCACTGGACATTATATTCTACTTTAAAGCACTGTGGGCAAGGCTCGAGGGGAGGTGTGTGGGGGAGGCAGGGGTAGCGTGTACCTTTTGCTGTGTTTGTGTCGGCTGAGGCAGTGGTGGTTGCTCTGTGGTTCCCATTGGCAGTTCAAACCGAGGGCTGGTTTAGATGGAAACAAGAAAATCGGTTCTCAAATCATATGCCAACGTTTTAGCATCAGCTCAGTCAAGTAAATCCAAAGAACAGAACGTTCAGCCAATTGGGTTTGGCTCACAGGAAACAAACCTCCCCCTTCCCACTTCTCATTCCATGTGTGTAGCATATCCCTCTGCCTGTGAAGCCTTCTGGAATATAAAACCCTGTGATCCCACTGCGCTGATGGCATCTAATCACCACCCCAGTCTTACTGGGAACTCCCTGCAGAGACCCTGCCCCACATCACAGAATGGTTTGGGTTGGAAGAGACCTTAAAGACTCATCTTGTTCCACCCCCTGCCATGGGCAGGGACACCTCCCACTAGCCCAGGTTGCTCCAAGCCCTGTCCAACCTGGCCTTGGACACTTCCAGGGATGGGGCAGCCACAGCTTCTCTGGGCAACCTGTGCCAGGGCCTCCCCACCCTCACAGGGAAGAATTTTTTCTGGTACCTAATCTAAGCCTACTTTCTTTTGGTTTAAAACCATCCCCCTTGTCCTGTCACTACATGCTCTTGTAAGTAGCCTATCATCAGAAGAGTAAAAATTCAGCCAAACTAAACCTTGGCCAGACCTCCAAAGCCATTGGGAAGCACTGGAGCACCCTCATTTGACATCTACCGGATTCCAAGGGAAGCACAAGGTTCCAGGCCAGGCCTGGAGCATACTCACTGCATGAATTTACAGGCAGGTCCCTCTGGGCAGAATCCTACCAGGTAATTCACACAAATGACTCTCCGAGTGTGCCGGTGCCTGCACAGGGGACCTGCAACACAAAGCTCAGCAGTCCCCATTCCACAGATCATTCCACAGAGCAGCAGATCATGCAAAGAGAGAACAGCAACCCCCCACCCCCGATTCAGAGCCACAGAAACAGCAGCTGTGCGAGGCACATACCGTGTTTGCAGAAGCCTCTGTCATACCAGGGACAGTCTTTGATCTTGGACTCCGGGTCGATGTGCAAGAATGGACATTCTTTGTTACTGCATTCCCCTGTGCCAAAGGCAAACACACTTCTCAGTCAACGGTGCAGGTCTGGGTTCAAAATGACTCTCAAAACATCACCTGGATCTCGTGGCTCCCACAAGGCTGTTGCCGACACTTTTAAGCTCAGGCACAACAGTCTCACTGCCTGTCTTAACCTACATGGAGAACACCAGGGACTCATCCCTGGTGAGTAAAGTTCTGCCAGAGTGGATAATTTATGTGTGCTTTTAAAAACAGTGGGGAAACTAAAATTTGAAAGAGAGCAGTCACGATAACAAAACCCAAACATTTAGTGCACCAGAAGCGTGGAGAAACTACAGGTTGTGCACTAACCTCAATCCAAGGAAACCTACAAGAGTGTAGGTTTCTGGCAGCAAGTTGCCTCGTTATGTCCAGATCTCCAGAGCTGGAAAGCAAGTGCATAGAAGTTTTGCACCCCCATGCCCTCTGCTGCTCATCAACTCCCCAAAATAAGAGCCATGCAAAGACCAACTGCTCAGCCTATTCACCTCATACCCCAAAAGAGAACATAAGGCATAAAACCCAGTGAAAACTTGAACTTCCCCTCTTCCTGCAAAGGGGACAAGCTCTTGAGAGTAAAGACATCCACTGTATGTCACAAATTTGGGTGGATAATAAGGTGAAGGACTAAGCAGATCTGAAAAAAATGATAATCTAACATTTCATCACACACAGAAGAACCATAATGCTCTGAAGATGGACGAGAGGGATGTACCAGGATCCTCTTCACCACACTCTCACACCAGCAAAGGACAATAAGCAGGGGCTACTTACCAAATTTGGAGTAGAAGTAACACTCAGGCATCTTGGTCATGTCATACTCGTGCAGAAACTCGCACTGGTCTCCCTTTTTGCACAGTCCTCGCAGCCAGTGTTTACAAACAACTGTCTTTTCCCCGCTGATGTGTCGGAACGGGCACATTCCCCCTGTGGAAGGGGCAAGGATGGGGCAAGGAGAAGGGAGAACAGTTCAAATGCACGTCACAAGGAGGAACAGGGCAACAGCAGCACTTTGTTCCCCTCTGCAAGAGGGGCTTTGGCAGACATCAGCTGTGATTTCAGCCTCAAGTGACAACAGCACAAGAGGGAGTCCCAAAAACACCCTGTGCAACCCTCTAAAAAAGTCTCCAGCTCTCAATCCTGACAACTGCAAAGCACAGCAATTAATCCAGGCCCCTCCACAGCAAGGTCTGAGTGTGGCAAGTTCAAACCTTCCTTTAACAGGAGCTTTCCTTATTCACTTCCCAGCATCTTTAAAACATACCACTATTTCCCAACTGCTGCAGGTATTCCAACATCCTTCAGCTTTATCCTCTATCTGTGTTATCCCCTCAGCTTTACTAAACAAGAGTACTACAAACAGAGCTAGAAAATCTGTTTTCCCCTCCCTCCACCCTGTGGGAATAATTGCATTTTCCACCATTCCACACGACTTGCCTTTTCCACATGCCGCCTTTAAAAAGAACTCACAGACAGCCGCGCCCGATTCTGTGGAGAACAAGGAAATATAGTTCATTTTAACAAAGCTTTGTGGCAAATTTTTAATTATTTCTCCCTGGAAAGGCAATCTGGTCCTCAACATCGAAAGAAAAGCAGTATTTTGGTTTGGGGAACTTACTGTCCTCGTTCAAGCCTGGCCCTCACAAATAGCTGTATTTTTCTCAGGGGCACCAAGGGGAATTTGCAGAGATATGGTGGTGCTTGTTTTGCTTTTCAGCTATTTTGGTTCTGTTGATTGGGTTGTCCTCTATCATTAAGTCAATCATGACAATAAATCACAGAATATTCTGAGCTGGAAAGGACCCACAAGGATCACTGAAGTCTGACTCCTGAACCCTTTACTTACAGTCCTGGCCTTATAGTTTTTTACCAGAACAGCCCAAAACAACCATTAGCATGTTATCCCTTGCTGATCCCGACCAATGGGAATGTTCAAGGGAGTTAAAACAGAACTTTAGTAGAGCAGCCAAAAAAATCCAGCAAACTTACGACTCTCCTGACTCTGTTTGTGTCAGACTGAAAGAAAAGGTTTAGAGACTCAGCCAAAGATAAACCTGAAGATGAAAACTCCCTGCCATTCCAAATGCTTCATATATCAAGAAGAGATAGATAAAAGGGGAAATATAGAGCACTGTGCAGCAGAGTGATGTTTATTCAACATGAACACCTCAGCGTTCATTTTTCCAGCATGGCTGGGGACTAACGAGAGTTTTCCTTAAGTAGAAAAGAAAAACATCTGGATTAGGACAGAAACCTCATGGGGAAAGCGGAAGTTGCGTGGTTCTATGGATAACACCCGAGGACAGACTGAGATCCCTGAAAACCTCCCACCCACCCCAACCCAGCCCACCCTCCTCAGCCCCAAGGCCCCAGCCCCCAGGGAGGAGGGACCCCACACGCACTGTCCATGCCAGGGAAGGGCAACGGCTGCGCCCCCAGCTGCTGCTCCACGGCCAGCTCCAGGTCGAACGTGATGTGGTCCACGCTGGCGATGAGCTCCTGCATGGTGGCAGCCGGGGGCCGGCGGCAACGGGACGGTAGGGGCGGAATGGTGGCGGCGGCGGCGGTGGCCGCGGCGGGCGGGCGGGCCCGGGCGGGCCCGGCCCGGCCCGCTCCGCTCCGCGCCGGCAGCGCCTGCGGTGAGGGGAGGCGGCGGCGGCAGCCCCGAGGCCGCCCCGCGCCGCCCGCCCGCGGAATGGCGGGACCCTCGGCGGGCACGGCCCGCCCGGCGGACAGCGCGCGCGCCCCCGCCAATCAGCGCCCGCGGCGCCGCGTCCCCGGCGGGCAGCGCGCGCGCCCCCGCCAATCAGGGGCCGCCCCGGCCGCGGGCACGCCCCTTCCGCGCGCGCAGGCGCCGAGGGGCGGGGGAGGAGCGGGGCGGGGCCGCGGGGCGTGTGAGGGACCGGGCCGGGTCCCGCCCCGGCTGCTCCGCTCAGCGCCCCGAACCCCGCCCGGGCCCCGCTCCGCAAGGTCCCGCTCCCTCCGCGCCCCGAACCCCGCCCGGCCCCCGCTCCGCGCTCTGAACCCCGCCCGGGCCCCGCTCCGCAAGGTCCCGGCTCCGCTCCGCGCCCCGAACCCTGCCCGGCCCCCGCTCCGCAAGGTTCCGGCTCCGCTCCGCGCTCCGAACCCCGCCCGGGTCCCTCCTCCGGGCCCCGCTCCCTCCCCGGGGGCGGCGGGCGCGCCATGAGCTCGCTGCGGCTCCTCGTCCCGCGCTGGTGCCGCGGTACCTGCTCGGCCGTGCTGCGGGCGCGGGGCGCGGCCCCCGGGGGTGGCTCCGGGCCGGCCCCGCTCCTGCCCCGGCCCCCCGGCCAGGCCCTGCCGGCACGGCTGTGCAGCTCCTCGCAGCCCTCCTGCAAACTGCCCGGGAGCGGCCCCAGGGACGTCGCTGCTGGCAGCTGCACTGCAGCCCCTGAGGAGGAGGAGGAAGAGGATGATGATGAAGGCGTGGAGTTCGGGACGCTGTCTGATAAGTTTTCCTCTAGAAAGTATTACCACAAGGCCTCATCACGCTTTTGGGATTCAAAGCTTCAAGAAGAAGGAGAGGAAGAACCAGAAAGGAAACCTCGACGCGGCCCGAAGAACACCCCGTACTGGTACTTCCTACGGTGCAAGGCCCTCATCAAAGAGGACAAGGTTTGGGCCCAGTTCTTCTCTCTTTTTTTAATATCCCTGATGGAAGATGCAGCTCTGCCCCATCTGTCGCTTGGTATCTCTACAGAAAGAGGAAAAATAAGAAATTGTTGTAGAATCATCATAGAATCCCAAAATGGTGTGGGTTGGAAAGGAGGGACCCTAAAGAACTTCCACTCCCTGCTATGGGCAGGGACACCTTCCACTAGCCCAGGTTGCTCCAAGCCCCATCCAACCTGGCCTTGGACACTTCCAGGGCTGGGGCAGCCACAGCTTCTCTGGCCAACCTGTGCCAGGGCCTCCCCACCCTCACAGGGAAGAATTTCTTCCTAATCTAAATCTCCCTTTTTCAGCTTAAAGCCATTCCCACTTGTCCTTTCACCACATGCCCTTGTCAAAAGTCCCTCTCCAGCCTTCTTGTGAGGAACCCCATGCTCTGTAGGACTTCTACTGCTATCTGCTCGCAGCTGCATGTATTAATATCCATTGTAATTCGTTCTCTTGTTTTCTTATCATGGATTTTCCTCTTCCCTGTAGCTGGCAGAGGCTCTGGAGCTGTTTGAGGTGCAGATGCTGAAGGAGGAGCGTGTCCAGCCAGAGGAAAGCAATTACACCGTTCTCATCGGTGGCTGTGGCAGGGTTGGCTACGTGAAGAAGGCATTCAGGCTGTACAATGACGTGAGTTTAAGTTCTCTCTCTCAAAACATTTTCCCAAGCTAAAACCGTTCCAAACATTCCGTCACTTCACTTTGTCTCCAAAATGCCTTTGAGTTAAGTAAGCATTGGCACCTTCTTAGCCTGCAGCTCTTAAAAGCAAGCTAAAAAATTAAAGAAGCAAGTCCAGCTCCTCCCTCTCTTCCCTTAGATGAAAAAACGAGGGTTGATGCCCACGGAGGCCACTTACACGGCCCTGTTCAACGCCTGTGCCGAGTCGCCGTGGAAGGACTCGGGGCTGCAGAGCGCCCTGAAGCTGCGGCAGCAGCTGCAGAGCAAGAACGAGGAGCTGAACCTCATCACCTACCACGCCCTGCTGAAGGTCTGCGCCCTCTGCTCGGACCTCAGGATGTGCTTCGACGTACTCAAGGTGAGCGGGTCGCTTTTTAGCAGGCGTTAAACCTGGTCTGCTGTGGTTAAAGCTCCCGGCAGTCGTCGCGTTGCAGCAGACTGGATAACAGGAAAGTTTAATGTTTTCTCTGCTCTTTTAGGAGATTGTGCAGAAGGGGCATGTCCTGACAGCTGAGACCTTCAGCTTCCTTCTCATGAGCTGCATAAAGGACAGTGAAAACGGGTTCCGATACGCCCTGCAGGTGTGTCTTCGTGTTCTAGCTGGGGGGGAAAGTGCTGCTGTATTGTAACTCATCACTTCAACACAGTGGGTGGCTCAGGGCTGGTGAAATGGGAGGAGTTCAGCTCCTCCTAGGGCAGGCTGTGAAAACTAGACTTGCACCAGGACATGCCGTACGCTGGCGAGCAACCCTGGATCATCTCACGGGGCTCCACCACCTCGAGGTCACTGCCCTTGTCATCTCACCTTGTCGTGCTGTAAACTCGCTCATCTGCACACAGATCCCATTGACAGACGTGCTTACAGCCTGCTAGATATGCTCCTGTTATTTAGTGTCACATCTGGTGTGCATCCTCCCCTCTTCAGGTTTGGAAGCAGATGACTAAACTTGGGATAAAGGGCGACAGCCACACCTACAACCTGATGCTGCGCGCGGCGAGAGACTGTGGGATCGGCGACCCCGCCCTGGCCTCTGAACTCCTGCTCAGACCCCCTGAGAACTCACCTCAGCTACAGCTCCCAGCTGGGAAGCAGAAGGAAAGGATGAGAAATCGAAGGAAGAAGAAGGGATCAGAGAGTGTTCCTGTCCGGCTGGATGTGGAAGCCATGGAAAGGCAGTTATTTCAGGAGAGCTCGGTGCAGCCCAAGGAACCGATTCAGCAACAAAATAAAGGTGTGAACCAGGCTGAAGAAGAACCAGCTGCTCCTGACAGCCCCAGTGTCACCCACAGCAGGGCTGGAGCCTTGATGAGGAGAGGCCACAGTGAGATGGAGCTGGAACAGGCACACCCAAGCCAGGAGCTGCCTTTCTGCAACCTGCCCAACTTGCTGGATTCCAGGATGCCTGACACAGCCGTGGTTTCCTTGGGGACAGTGGCCACACCGTCCCACAGACTGGCTTTGATGGGGGATGTGGAGGGATTCTTGAACAAAATGAAAGAGGACAATGCAGAGCCCAACATTAAAACATTCACGTTACTGGCTGAGCTGGTGGAACCCCAGAGCCCCTCAGAGTCCTCCTTGCTGGCACTGCTGGATGAGCATAAAGTGAAAGTAGATGTGGCCTTCTTTAACACTTTAATAAGGAAGAAAAGCAAACAGGGAGACCTGGAGGGAGCAAAGGTGAGAGCAAAACCTCAGAACCAGCCCTGTCACCACCTCCTTGTCTCACACCTCCTGTGTTTTGCTCAGAGACCCATTTCTCTGTCCATGACAGAAACTGGGATCTCACACTTCTCCACAAACTTCGGTTAATTTCTGAGTATTTTTGGATTCCATTCTAGCACATCCAGCTCCCTGTCTGGAAAAGCTGTAGTGATGCTTTTTGGGAACTGATGCCAAGACTTGTGTGTTGCAGAGCGTGCTGCCAGCTCTGGTGAAGAGGGGACTGTCACCCAACCTCCAGACGTTCTGTAACTTGGCAATTGCCTGCCACCAGGAGAAGGATGGACTGCAGCTGCTCTCGGATTTGAAGGTAATCAAAGGAAAATCCTCTGCTGCTTGGGGTTCAAGCTGCAGGAAGAGGCAAAATGAAGGGTTAATGCTGCTAAAATACCTGCTGAGGTTTTTGTGGCAAGTGGTTGTGTTCTCACTTCCAGGGAGCTGTGCTCCTTGTGTGAGAAGGGGCCTGTCCATGTGCCTTTTCCTTCTCGGAGTCCCGCACTAGTCAGCAGATGAACAAGTTTTAACTGTAGCATTTGTGGTTTCCAGAGGTCTGGAGTAACTCCCAACAAGTACATCTACAGCACCCTCATTGCTGGTGCTGTGAGGAAGCTGGATTACAGCTACCTGACGGAGATCCTGCGGGACATGAGGAACAACGAGGTGCCTCCCAACGAGGTGATCATCCGCCAGCTGGAGTTCGCCGCGCAGTACCCCCCCAAATTCGACAGGGTAAGGAGCCAGTGCTGCTCAGGGTGTGAAGGCACCACAGGGGACACCGCCAAGGGAGGGGAATTGGAGATGCCCGAGTTTCCTTTGGGTTTGTCTGATCTGGCCGACAGTTGGGTGATCGCGCTCTCTTCGGTGGCAGCTTGAAGCTGTCTCAGTACTGAAGCAGAGTTCTTGCCTAACAGAAACTTGTTTTGTTGGCTTTGTGCTTGCAGTACAAGTCCAGGAACCCGTACCTGGAGAAGATTGATGGTTTCCGTGGCTACTACCACCGGTGGCTAAAAGTTATGGCTGGAGAGGAGACCCCCCACCCCTGGGCCAAATACAGGACAGCCAAACGAGGGGTGCAGGGCAGCGAGGCCGAGGCTGTGCAGGAACAGTGAGCAGCAGCAGGAGGGCATTTCAAGTTCTTCCAGCACAAGGAACATGCATGACCTGCTGCTTCAAACTGCTGGTAGTAAAGCTGCTTCCACGTAATAAAATATTTTGTTTTAAGGAGAAGCAAATACGTTTTCAGCTGATTTCCTTAAGAGGATTAGACAGGCTGTAGTTCAGCAAACCCTGGGCTAAACAAGAAGCAAAATCAGATTCAACAGGCCTTTGGCTCAGTGCTGGTTTTGTCTCTGTTCTGTGTTCTGTCACTTCACATGTGACCTGTAAGTGTCTAGACTGTTGGCATTCCTGAAAGGATCTAGGCATTAATTCCAGGGAATTCCAGTGAAATTCAGCTTTCACCTAGACAAGGTCAGGGAAGAGCTCAAATCCAACTGGATGCTTGGAAACTGTATTATAATTTTCTTTCCAAGCAGTCTTTTAAACTAAAGTTAGTTGAGAAAGAGGGGTGAGAGCTGCTTGAAAACCAACCCACATTCAGAAGAACCTCCAAACCAAGCACCCCGAACGCATCCAACAGGAGAAAAGGGGCACAGGAATGTTTTGCCAGAACATGACACCACTCTCAGGAAGGCAAGCTTTATTTTAAAATAAATGGCTACATTTATTAACCCCACTCCAAAGCACCCCTTCCCCCCCATTTAGGCAGGATCCAGGTGATGCTGCTGCTGCTTTCATTGCTTTACAGAAATATCCCATCCCAGGAAGTGGTGCAATTGCACTCATAGTCCATTGAGGAGGAGGAGGAGGACATCCCTCAGAGTTCCCAAAGCAAACTGATGACCAAAGGCTTCACCCAGAACAGCCTCTGCATCCACAGTGAGTGCACTCAATGATTCTGCCCTGAAAAACAAACGTGAGGAGGGTGTTTCAGCCAAGCCACAGGCAGAGCAGGCTCAGGCCTTGAGGCAGGGAAGGGCTGTGCGTGGGAAGTGTTTCTGCTGTCTAGATTTCTGTTATTTCCCATACTTTTAACACCTTTAAATAAGTGCCAAAGCTGAGAGAAACTTTAGAACCAACTCTACTAACAAAGGTAGGAAAAGGTGGAGGAAATTACCAGGAAGAACAGCACAACCTCCTCTGCTGTCCCTGACCTGGCAGAAGTCAGACCAGCAGAGGAACAAGCTGCACACTCACCACTTCCAGCTTGCTTTTGGGGACCCTGCAGATGCAGTTGGTTCCGAAGTTGGTGTCCCGTGTCTGGATGCAGCGCAGGCAGCACAGGTTCTCATAGCCCTGCTTCTTCCACTTGGCAATCAGGTTCTTGTCAGCATAGCCCTCCTTGATGCAGTACTCGTACAGCTCTGGGGAGGTGTTGGAACACTCACTAGCAGGAGTTACTGGCTGGAGTAACCAGCTGCAAAGCCTCCCCTTCACCCTCCCTCCCCCTAGACCTGACCTTTCCCACCAGCTCCCAGCTCAGGTGCATCCACAGGGGAACACCTCGCTCCAGCCTTCCCCTGCCCAAGGTAAAGCCCTGCCCTCTCACCTCTGCTGATGGCTTTCCTTTTGTAGAAGAGGTCAAAGATGTAACGTGTTTTCTGGTGGTGGATTCTGAAGATGGGCCACAGGGATTCCACCTTCCTCTTCCCCTCGTGCGGCTCCGTCTCCGCTGGGAGGGAACACAAACACCAGGGTTCAGCTGGCAAATTATTCCCTCAGTCTCTTGGCAATAAACTGATCCAAGGGCACTCATAACTTTAATACATGGCAGGGATAAGACTGAGATTAATGGGAGAAGACTCAAATTAAAGGGGTCTGACCTGGAACGGTTCCTTTAGGGAATAAAACCACTGGCAGCGGGGTGACAGTGACCCACACTGGGAGGGTGGGTGACTTCATGCCTGGACAAGAACTACAAGTCTTTCCACACCCAAGGGAGCTTCAGCCCTAAACCAACCTGTAACCAAAGCTCTGTGCTCTGTAACCTGAGCTCACACCAAACCCAGGGGCCACCACTGGACAGAACAGGTCCATGTGTACGTGCAGGGCAAGCTGAGCTTTGTGAAGCAGCTCCCTGGAGCTTGTTCTGGGGTCACGGCCCCGCTCACCTTCTCTCATCTTCTGATCCAGCTCATCCAACGTGGGCTCAATGAGCTCCCACCCGTCCGGGGGGGGCTTCCTGCTTCTCTTCACTTTGGGCATTGCCTCAGGAACGGAGCAGGGAAGGCGAGGGCTCGAGGGTCTGCCTGCACTGCCTCGGGATCACTGCGGAAAACAAAAGGAAAGCAGCTGCCAGATGCGTTTCTCCTGAGGCTTCTGTGCCCTCTTCCTGTTTTCCACTTCGAGGGTAACAACGAGCTTCACGGAGCTCGTGAGAGGGCTGAAATCCCTGTGTCTGCTGCACAGTAAATCGGTTTTTCTCCTCCCCCACCCCGGGCCACCCGAGGCGACAGCTCCGGGAGCTCCCGGTGCCAGCGGGACGAGGGCCGGGACCCGGCACCGGCGGCCCAGAGCGGAACCCGGGGCCGCTGGGGGAGAGGAGAGGCCGCAGATCCTGGTCCCGATCCCAGTTCCTGTTCTGATCTCCGTCCCGGTCCCGGCACCGCTCGCCGCCCGAGGCCGCAGCCCCGATCCCAGTCCCTGTCCCGACCCCGCTCCCTGTTCTGGTCACAGTCCCAGCCCCGATCCCGTTCCCTGTCCCGCTCACCCCCCGCTCCCGGTCCCGCTCAGCCCCGACCCCGCTCCCTGTCCCGTTCCCGATCCCGATCCCGATCCTCCCTCACCCGCCGCTCCCGTCGCGTCCCCTCCGTCACCGGGGTCCTCCCGCGGCCCCGCCCTTGGGCCGCCCGGTGCGCTGCCCGAGCCAGCACCCGCCATCCCCGCCGCCCTGCCCGCCGCTGCGCCCGGGGCCGGGAGGGGGGAGAGAAACCCACCGGGACAGAGAAACCAGCGGGGCAGACCCGGCCCGGTCCGGCCCGGCCCGGGGGAGGCGGCGGGGGCGGCCCCGCTCGGGGCCTGCGGGACGGGGCGGGCCCCGTTCCGGTTCCGGGGCGCCGCTCGGGCCGGGGGGGCCGCGCCGCCATCGCCGCGATGCCGAAAGGTGGAGGGGGACGGCGGGCAGGGCGCTCGGGGGGAGCGGGGATGGCGGGCAGGGATCGTGTCCCCCAGCCCAGGCTGTGCAGATGCTGCGGGGGGCCCGTCCCGCCCCCTCTCCCGGTCGGGGTGTGTGTGATGGGGGGGGGATCCTTTCCCCTCACCGGGGGTCCTTGAGGGCGCTCCGCGGCTGGGGGTGGGCGCTGTGGGGGGGAGGATTTCGGGCTCTTCTGGGGGTTCCTCCCGCCCCCTCGGGACTCGGCGGGTTCCCCGCTCTGTGCCCCCCAAAGCGCGGCAGCCCCCGGGGCGGGTCCCCCCCGTGCTCCCGGGTGAGCTCCGTGTGCTCCCCCCGCGATGGGAGCCGCGGCCGCTCCCCCGGGACGGGCCTTGGGGCTCACGGGGAGGGGGTCGCGGCCACACCAGGGGGGTTTGGGGCCGTCCCATTCCCAGGGGCCGGGAAAGGGGCTCAGAGGGTCCCGACCCGGGGGGGTTCTGGGGCTCCAGCCGCGGCTCCTTTGATGTGGCCGCGTCCTGGGTGTTCCCGAGCGGGCACCGACTCGCTCCTCGTGTGATTCAGGAGCTGACGGGGCCGTCGCGGCCGGGCTGGATCCACCCAGAACCTTCTCCGCAGGCCCCATCTGCATAATGGGCTCCGGCGAGCCCCGCTCGCACACGCTGAACGCGGGCCGGCCCTCCCCGTTCCCCCTTTCCCTGCAGCTCGTTTCATCAGCATTTCCCAGGCTTCGGCGCCAGACCCCATTCCCGGTTTAGATTTCCTTTAACCACCTCATTTTGTGCCCATCTCGCACGGCGCTGGTAGATGGGGCTGGAGCTTCCACGTGGTTTTTGTGAAGGCCGGTTTTAACCCCATTTTCCGTATTTAAATGGCCCTGCAACCCGAGATTTCCTGCTTTTTGTTTGGTGGCACAGCTTTAAATGTTTGACTCGAACCTTCTGCTTTTTGGGAAAAGAGGGATCTTTGCTCGTTCCCCACCCCCCCGCCCCCAAATCAGTGGGAATTAGTGGATTGTTAGCAGTCAGTGGATTTTGGCACTCACTGTTTAATATAAAAGGGGGGGCATTAATCAGCCAATAATAAATTTTGTTACAGGATGATTTGTGATTGTGTTGGTGGTTGGGGTTTTTTTTTGATAACTTGATTTAAAAGAGGAGTGATTCCATCAGTATCCTTCTGTTCTCTTTCATTTAAATCCCTTAATTTTGCTGTTTAAAGCTGAAGACAGGAGGTGTTTGAGGGTGTGCCTGGCACAGTGGGCTTTGCTGCAGGTGAAATCTGCAGGTGATGCCTTTTTAGAAATGCTTCACAGAGGAGGAAGAGAATCATCCCTGTTTTGCAGATGGGAAAACTGAGACACTGAGCTGGTCAGTGGCAGGTGTAGGACCAGCACTGCCCATGTCTGGCTGAGGTTTTGGGAGCAGAGCCACGACCCTGAGCTCCCCACACTCTCATAGACTTCACTCTTCCATTTGCTTCTTTTTAGCCTTTTAATACAAAATAATTCCTGTTTAGTTGCTCCCCCCCCCCTTATCACCCCTGTTTATTTGCAGTGATGAGGGGTTTGTGTTCCTCACTCCCCATCCCAGTGTGGAATTCTGGAGCAGCTGGATGGGGAGCTGCCTGGCCCCTCTTGGTGTGCCAGAGATCTCAGTGCTGCTCCACTGAGAGTGATGTCATGGGCTGGGCAGTGAGGTAACGTCTCCTCGGGAGCATTCCCGTGGTAGATCCCCTTTCCCAGAGGGTGTCAGTGTTGCCAGGTGGGATGGTGGGAAGAGACAAGCAGAAAACACCTGTCTGTGTGGGTGCAGTGAGTTGTGCTTGTGGTCTGAGAGCCCACGAGCCTCCCCAGCTGAGGGCAGAGGGAGAAGGCTCCGGTGTCTGTGCTTCCCTGTTTCTCATGGCAAAACACCTCTGGAGTCTGTAAGGCTTCACAGTGGGGATTTTGGGATCATTTATTCCACAGCTCCGCTTCTACTGAGCTGAGGCATGTGGGAGTTTGTCTCTGCTGAGCCAGGAGAGTTGGTCAGAAAATGAGGGATCTCTAAAGCTCACAGCCCACAGGGCTGCCTGCCCTGGTGCTCCCAGTCCCTCCCAGTCCAACAGCACACAGTGACAGAGCAGTGACAGCTCTCCCATGGATCCCATGCAGTCCCAAGGAAGGAGGGATGATCCTCATCCCTCCCCATCACCATAAGGTTCCTGTTGTCCTGGGCAGGTGAAGTGAGGAGGGTGAGTGAGATCCAGGGTTTCCTGCTCCTTCCAAGTCTCCTGCAGTAGCAGGGACTTCCCTTGCCAGAGTTGTTTTCTTTTTGCCAGTCTCCCTCTCTCAGGGCTGTGGACTGACTCTGTCCAACGTGCTTCCCAGTTCTTGGGGCTGGAAGAGCATAAAGTGAGCAGTGACTTGCAGGAATCATTAATGGCTTCAGCAGTTCATTAATACCTGAGGTTGGAGCCTAGGGCAGATCTCAGCCAGGCAGTCCCAGCCATTGGTCCCCTTCCTGGTTCTTAAAGCTTGTTTTTATTTTTCCTTCTAAATCAGTAAAACATGGAGGCTCCTTTCAGTGCTTCCTCAGCTCTCATTGTAATTCCCAAAGCTTTTGTCCAATTAGCTTCCTATTTTCCCCTGGCACAGCCTCAGTGCAGGGGAGGGGTAAGGGAACCAAGCTTTGGGAATGTTGGTTGTAACCACAAGAACACACTGTGATTCTCCCTGTGCAGGGAAGGAAATCAGAGAGGCCACAAGTGCAGGCAGGGAAGGGTGGTATCAAAAATCCCAATTCTCTGTGCATCTTACCCAAAAAATCTTGGAGCGTTTCACCAAGTTCAGTGTGGGTTTTTTGTTCTTCAGGTCCCATCAGAGGAGCTATTTTGGTTTGTCCAATCTGTACTGAAAATCCAGAGATGCTGCAGGAGGAACAGACCTTTCTGGAAGCTCATCGCTAACCCATTTGTTAATTTTGTTATTTTTTGCAGGTAGAAAAGGAGGCCACAAAGGCCGAGCAAGACAGTACACGAGTCCTGAAGAGATTGATGCCCAGCTCCAGGCAGAAAAGCAAAAGGCAAGGGTATGTGTTTGCCTCCACTCTGTGCTTCCTGCCATGATTCCTGGCTTGTCCAGCCTGATTACTTGTGATTCAGGAGCAATGGCAGCTCAGGCATTGCCAAGATCTTTCCAACAGTGATCAGAGTACAGACTCTGAATATTCCCATCCAGCCTGGTTCCTGAGGCGTGGTGGACCATCCAGTTCACCCTTTGAAGGTTAAAGGACAGGGGAGCTGATTACTCAGCAGCCCTGGAGATGCTTTCTCCCCATATTTCATCATTCCAGTCTCCAGTGTCAGCTAATTTTTTTTATCTGTGCTCTGCATCTTGGCTTTGGAGAACAGGGGCTCACATCTTGACGTCTTATTGTATGTTGAAATTATTATATTTGCCCTCTCCTAGACTTAAAGGACCAAACTCCTTTGACTTCTCCCTGTAAACATGATTTTCTCGTTTGCCTCTGACTTGCAGGGAGAGATAAGAGGGTTTTTTGGCATGAGGCCTTTTTTTGGGTGTGTTTCTGTGCCCCAGCATTGGACTGTAACAGCTCCTCCTGCTTCCATGACCTGACTGGTGTCCTAAAAGCCACAGCTCCTTTTTGCAGCGCTCACTCTCGTGATTCCCAAGTTATCACAGCTCTGGTGACACTCTGACTGCTCTTTTTCTGGGACTTTTTGAAAGTGCTGCCTAAGCCCAAACACACAATTCCAGCTGAGGCCTCCCAGCACTGACCACAGGAGGATAATTACACCCCATGTAGGAAGTACTGATGAATACCTCCAGGATGACTCTTTCAGGCAGTTCTGAGCCATTGTGTTGACTCCTCTTTCATGTTCTACCCAGCTGGAACTCAAGAGGATTGTTTGGTTTGCTGCTTAGCCACATATTCCAGCCTGGTGTTGGATTTCTTCTTCCAGAGTGTAGCTCCTCTTGGTTACTTTCTGATTCCGCCTCCTTGGTTTCATGCCTTATTTCCAAGTTCTGAAACCACTTACGAGTCTGATCCTGTTTTCCAAAATGATTCCAACTCCTACCAGTGTGACATCATTCACAGACTGTATAGGTGTCCTCTGCTTCCGTGTTGTTAATAAAAATACCAGCTGGAAGTGGAACAGAAAAGCAGGACCCACTTGAAATGTGTGTCTTGTTTCTCAACAAACCAGGGAGCTGCTCTTTGAGAAGGGTTTATTGTTTTGTGACAATCCATATCATGTAGTGATGGTTACATCCAACACTGTTTTATTAAGGAAAGCTTAAAAAAAAAACCAAATTAGCAAAATTACTCCTCTTTCTGCCCCGTGCTCCCCCCCTTTGCCATCCCTTTGATGAGGGATATTGGCAGTGGTTAAACAAGCTGTTCACACCCATGTTGGTCCTTTAAGAGTTGGATTTGGGCTTTTGATTGACATCCATTTCCTCTGATTTCCTGTGGTTCCATAGGAAGAAGAGGAGCAAGAAGAAGGAGGTGAAGGAGCAACAGGAGACCCCAAAAAGGAGAAGAAGTCTTTAGATTCAGATGAGAGTGATGAAGATGATGAGGATTATCAGGTACCGTCATTCTCAGGGCACTTCATGCAGTGGCACCACCCAGATTCTTGGGCCAGGGCGAGGTTCATGCACTTGACTCAAGAGTTCTATTTGACAGCTACCTATAAGAAATTTTTTAGGGAAGAACTATTTTTGGAAGCCCAAAAAGCCTCACTTTGACAGCGTTTTGTCCTCAGAATGAAAACTCTTGTGTGTTTATAAATGAAATACAAAGGCAAGAAGAGTTGACATGCTGAGATAACAATCTTGGTTCATAAATGGTTTTGCTGGCTGGCAGTAAAACCCTCTTGAGTTGTGCTTTTGGGGTGCTTTGCAGTGTGTTTGATGAGCTCTGAGATGACTCAGTGTGAGATTTAAACACATTCCCCCCCCCCTTGTTCTTGAACCGCAGCAAAAGCGCAAAGGCGTGGAAGGGTTGATAGACATCGAGAACCCCAACCGTGTCATTCAGACAACCAAAAAAGTCACTCAGCTGGACCTGGATGGACCTAAGGAGCTCTCACGACGAGAGAGGTGAGTCTTTCCTGCTCCCTCGGTGGGATTTGGTGCATCCCTGGAGTTTCATCCTTGCTGGTGGCAGCAGCTTCACACAGGGGGCGGGGGTGTTTCCCTGCTCTGGGTGTTGGTGCTTCAGGGAGACCCTTTAAGGGTGTTGCTGCCCAAAGCAGACACTGAACAGCAGCAAACTGTCAAGCAGGGCTCCCTGTGTTAAAAAATGTGATTCCTTAAGAACTTCACAGAAGTTGTCTGTCCTCTGGGAGCAGCTGTGCCCATCCTGGAGCCAGGATGCACCAAGAGAAAGTAATTTAGGCCATTCCTTTCCTGATGTTTTACACCACAAAATCAGATGTAACAGAAATCCATTTGCCAGAGGTCACCTTGGAATCCACTTTATTCCTGCTGCAGAAGGTGCCCTGGTGACAGGCAGTGGTTTCCCAGATTCCAGGCACCCTGGTGAAATTTTTGTCTTGAGCAGATGAACAAGATGGAAACCAAAGTTTAATCTGCTAGTTCCATTTATCAGTGGCGAGTTTTGGAGGGAAAGATTTAAGCTTTTTTTCTTTATTTGGGATTGATTGCTTCAGCAGGACACCATTGAGGGTAAGGCTGGGAAAAGCATGTCTCAGTGCTGTGTGGTCTGGGGCAAATTCATCTGACCTTCTGTGTCCATGTCATTATTTAGCTGAAGGAAGGTAGAAATAATCTCTCCTCATCCTTGTTCAAACCCTGCAAGAGATAAAACCTGTGCCTGAAAACTGGTGAAGGACTCCCCCAGTTTTGGTGGGTCATCCATGTCTGTCCTCACCGTCCTTCCCAGTCGGAGGCCTGCCCTGCTCTGCCTGTCCCTGTGTGTCCCTGGATACTCTGGTGACTGGGGTTTTTTTCCCTCAAACAGAGAGGAAATAGAGAAACAAAAGGCAAAAGAAAGATACATGAAAATGCACCTCGCTGGGAAAACAGAGCAAGCCAAGGCAGACCTTGCCCGACTAGCCATCATCCGGAAGCAAAGGGAAGAAGCTGCCAGAAAGAAAGAAGAGGAAAGAAAAGGTTAGAGAACAATTAATCATACCCTCCTACTTGTCTGTGCCACGGCTGCAGTGCCAAGAGCCATCATTTCTCATGTCACACGTGCTAATCCCTCATCTCCTGAGCCTCTGTGGTGTTCTCACAACTCCCCTCAGCAAAACCAGGTTCAGGTGTTTCCTTCTCATAAAGCTCTCAATTTATAAAGCTCTCAATTTATAAAGCTCTCAATTTATAAAGCTCTCAATTTATAAAGCTCTCAATTTATAAAGCTCTCAGAGACCTGAACGGGGAACAGGGAAAGAGAGAAGGGAATTTCCCTGGACACCCATATTGTCCCGTGCCTCCCAGGCAGTGCTGGCTCCAGTTTAGGCGTTTAGCAGGTTGTGATTTACCTTCTTTGCATGCTGGGAATCTGATCTGCCCAGGGAATTTGCAGCATTCCTTCCCTTCCTGGCCTTTCTCCATAGCTCTGGTAGGTGTGAAGCAGAAGTCTGACAAGCACAGCTTGTCAAATTTCAGCAGAGAAATTTGGGCATCAGCATCAGGGTGACTTGTGGATGCCTTAAGAGAGGCCAGGGTAGAAGGGAACACTCAGGTGGGGGCTGTGCCTCTTAGCTCAGGGGATCTGCCAGGGGTTGGTAGGGAGGGTGGGATTTTTTCCCTTTACTTGACAGGATTTCATTCCCGGGGCTGCCAACCCACCGCCCCAGGAAAAAACTGTTGTTTTCCTCCCCCAGCAAAAGACGAAGCGGCCATGGCAGGTAAAAGACTGCAGTCACTGTCCCTTAACAAGTAAGCCCAGGCCATGCAAGAGGAGGAAACGCCAGGGAACTGTGCCTGGTCCTGCCGGGAGCTCTGCCGCGTCGCCTTCCATCGATGCCACGCGGGGTGAACCCGCGGCATCGACGTCACCTCCCCCTCCAAGAGACACTGACGATGTGTTTGTCCTCATCCTGGCACAGATTTCCATTTGGGGTCAGGGGCAGCTGCTCTCTGCAGTGCAGAGCTGTGCTGAACAGCAGTTCCCTGTAACAGTTGGGAAACGTGAATGTTTTTGCTGTTTTTAGGATCAAGAACTCGTAGATGGGGGGCGGGGGGGCTGTGTGGGAGGGAGGGAGCTGTGTGGGAGGGGAGGTGCTTCAAATACTAGATTGCAAGAAAATAGATTGTGGGGTTGTTGGGGGGGTGGGGCGTGGGGTGGGGAACTGACTTGGTATCAAATCCAAAGGATAATGTATCTGAGGAATCCAGTTGGGCAAAGAGCCCATCAGATTTTGCTGCAGGGCGTTGCAGCACGAGCTGGGAGCCTGACTTCATGGACATCTGGAGTGCCGTTCCTTCCCGGAGTCATCCCTCCTTTCTTGCAGCCTTTTCCCTCCTCTTCATTTTTATTTTTTTTTTCTCCTCTTTATTAGGGATAGTGCCAGTTTTTAACCACATCATCCTTTGTTCAAAGGAGAAAAAAACAAGCAGCGTTTATTGTGTCAGATCCATATGGGAAAAAAACAACAACAACAAAAACACAACCCAAACTTGATCAAGTTTAAAAAACAACAACAGAACTTGTATATTTGGCTGATTAAACTGTAAGTTATCAGAACTGCTGTGGCCTTGTGTGTGTGTGAAGGGCACAGCTCGGGGGGTTTGGGGGACTCCTGCTGCTGCTGTTTGGGGGGTGGAGTTTGTTTCCAGGTTCAGCACATGCAGCCAGAGGGGGAAGAGCTTTCCCTGCTGTTTCTGATGGATGTCTTGCACAATCTGTTTACCACTGAGGAGGGAACAATTGCCCTCAGGGTGCTGTCTGGCCCAGTCACTGTGTCAGAAGGGCAGTCACCGAACTGTCACCCTGTCACATGTCCTGTCTCAGTGTGGGGCTGCTGGAGGGGAAGGGGGACACTCCAACCTGCTGTGCCCCAGGAGGTGTGGGATTCCTGCTGTTCTGGGACACCAGTGCTTCCCAGACGGGCTCCCTGAAGGCTGGAGGAGATCCAGCCCCAGGGCTCAGAGCACTGCGAGTCACTGGCCGAGGGTTAAAGCTGTGGAGGTGCAGGAGGACAAATGTTTGTTCTGGGTAGTGCTGTCCATACCTGACTGCAGGGACTCTGTGGCAGAGGGATGTGCCACAGGGAATGTCGTTGGGAGCTGCTGCTGAGGATTGGTTTGGCAGCCCAAGGTCTCCGGAGCTGGCTCCCAGGGTTGGGAATTGTGCAGCTGATGGGACTGGACTGGTGTCCAGGGGAGCTCTGAGTATGGGAAACCTGCACCTCCCAGCCCCCTCCATCCCCTCCACCACCTTCTTCCTAACACCAATCCTGTTTGGAAATGATGCTGAAGCAGGGAATGGGGAAGTGGCATTCCCCTTATCTCCAGGGTCCTGATTCATCCCCAGACCTGGGGGCAGAAAGGACGTGACCACCCGTGGTGGGATGTGGTTTGGCCCCGTGATCTGCTCCGACCACACACGTGTTCACACTGACCGTGTTCTAAAAAAGTGCAAAGAAAACCTCTTCGGATTTATCCAGGAAAATCCTTAACTTTATTTTCTAAGCGATGTATGACCAGCATCAGGAAGGATTTTAACAAAAATAGTAAAAAAAAAAAAAAAAAAAAAAATTGGCTTTCTCTGAGAGCAGCTGCCAGGGCTGGCTGGCAGCAGGGACTGTGCTGGTGGCATCGTGGCACAGGGAGCTCGTGTGGCACAGGGGGCTGGCAGGGGGAAGCAGGTGAGGTGGCAGAGCAGGGGCAGCCAGGATGCCCTTCCTGGAGGGCTCCTTCATTTGATCTTGAGATCCTTCAGCGCCGACTCCAGGCTCTGAAATGAAACGGGACGTTGGTTCAGCAACAGCTCTTTGCTTTCTGAGGCAGCTGGAGGTGGCTGGGGAGCTGAAAGCGAAGGGAACTGGGAGGGAAGCTGATCCCTGGCGTGCCAACCCATCCCTGTGGGGGGAAGATCCCAACTTTGGCTGGTTTGGGCTCATTTTCCAAGCCACGTGGGCAAAGCTGAAGCCAGGAGAGGGTGCTGTATCCCTGTGCAAGGCTGGCATCACCCCCCTCTGATGGACAGCTGTGAAAGTGCCACCCAGGGGTGTCCCCCACCCAGGACTGTGGGACAGGATGGGCCCCAACACCACAGGGTGAGGGATTGCAATTAGAGCTGTGCCTAATGAGGGTTCAACGCTGGGTGCTCCAGGGGGTCTGTGGGGACACCTCACCTTGACATCCCAGATGCTCATGCCACCGTCCATCCCCGTGGTGCAGAACTGGGAGCACTTGTCCTTCCCACCCACCAGCACCGAGATCTGGCTGTGGGTGCAAAGAGGCAGCAGGAATCAGTCAGTCCAAGGTTCCTGCTGAGCCCTTGGGCAGTCATGGGTGGGAGTGGGGCTGGACCCCCTCCTGTCCCCCACCCATGTGCAGGGAGGCACTGGGGGTAGCCAGGGATGCTCAGAGATACCCAAGTGTGCTCTAGGGATGCTCCAGGACCGTCCCAGCTTCTGGGACTGGACCCCTCTATTTCCCACACCCACATGCAGGGATGCTCTGGGGATACCCAGGGAAACTCAGGGATATCCAGGAGTGATGCAGCTCCTCATGCTGAATCCTTTACTCTCTCTCACTCGTTTGCAGGAACGCTCAGGGATGCTCCAGGGATACCCAAGGACGCTCCAAGGCTATCCCAGCTCCCAGGCCAGGCAGCAGCACACCCAGGGGGTGCTCAGGGGTCATCACCCCTGAGGTGACCCTGAGCCTGTCCCTGCAGCCCCTCAGCCCAGCCCTCACCTGATGCTGTTCTTGTGCAGGGTGTCCAGCGTGGCGTTGGCCGTGTCCGAGCTCGCCTTCTTGTCCAGGTTCTGGAAGCGCTCGCGGGCGGTGAGGCCGCGCTGGGAGCTCTGCTTGGGGACGTCCAGCTTGCCCCCGAAGGCCAGGGCGCCCTGGCTCTCCTCGTAGGTGAACAGCATCGGGCAGCAGTCGTGGCCCTGGGGAACGGCCCGCCCTGCTCAGCACCCTCTGCCCACGGTGCCCACCCCGCGCCCACCCCGCGCCCCAGCCCGGACTCACCGCGGCCACCAGGCTGTTCTCGGTGATGAAGGTGACGGCCAGGAGGGGCAGGGTCTCGGTGCACAGGGTGGCGACGCTGCGAGGCAGGGCGGGACGTTGGCAGGGAGCTGAGCTGCAGCCTCTGCCCTGAGGCTGGCACAGCTCGTCACGAGGGTGGAACACACAGAACTACGAGAGGACCCCCCCGCCTCCTCCATCCCGTGGGGCTCTGGGAATGCTCCAGGGGTGTCCCAGCTCCTGGGGCTGGACTGCTCTATACCCCCCACCCGTGTACAGGGATGTTCCAGGGATACCCAGGGATGCTGGGGGATGCTCAGGGGTACCCAGGGATGCTCTAGCGCTGTCCCAGCTCCTGAGGCTGAACCCCTCCAATTGCCTCACCCACTTGCAGGGCTGGACCCCTCTATCTCTCCCACCCATTTACAGGGATGTTCTAGGAACACTCAGGAATGCTTGGCAATACCCAGGGGTGCTCAGGGATACCCAGGAGCGCTCTAGGGATACCTGGCAACCCTCCAGGGATGCTCTAGGGCTGTCCCAGCTGCCAAGGCTTGACCCCTCCATCTCCCCCACCCACACACAGGGATGCTCTGGGAACGCTCTTGGCCCAACCCAACCCCAGGGTCAGTTTGGGGATCAATCCCCCCTGGCACGGTCCCCCCCAGCCCCCTGCCCTCCCCAGCCCTGCTTACGCCATCTTCCTGCCGGCGTCGGCGAGGCACAGGGTGCTGTCGTGGCTCACCCAGGCCACGCGGGACCCGCTGGCCGAGAAGCAGATGCTGTGCACCCACCCACAGCTGCTGCTGGACTCGAACATCAGCTCCCCAAAGGGCATCTTGGAGCCCCACGGGGTGGGGCTGGGCCGCTCCTCCACCTCCTTGATGTAGGCTGAGAAGATCCTGGGAGGGATCAGGGGACAGCTCTGCCACGTGTCCCCCACACAGCAGCACCCTGCGCTGCCTCCATCCCTGCTCCCTGAACGCCTCCGTCTCCCTGGCAGAGCCCGTGGGGGTCTCACATGGGGGCTGTAACGCTGGGATCATCCCCAGGGCACCCCCAGACCTCCCTGCATCTCCCCTGTGCTCCACTCCCTGCTCCAAACAGCACCCTGGAGGTGAAGCCTTCCCCACAGACAGACAATCCAGGGCTCTGGGCTGCCCCACACAGCTCTGTGCTGTGCCAGGGTGTGACCCCAACCATCCTCGGGGGTCCCCTCACTCAGGCCCCCCTGGTCACCCACCCCCTGCTCCTCACCGGCACTTGAAGTCACAGGAGCCGGCGGCCAGGAGGACGTTGTTGGGGTGCCAGTCGAGGCTGAGCACCGTGGAGCGGATGGGCTTCTTGATGTGCTTGCAAACCCACCTGCACGGAGAGGGCCTGGCCTCAGGGGGAGCATCACCTCCCCCAGGAACCCCACTGGGTTGTCAGGGGAGTGGATGAGGGTGGTGAATGCTCCAAGTGCCCCAGGAGCTGCCCTGGGCCCCCATCCCGCAGTAGCAGCTCGGGCATGTGGAGTCCATCTCTCCATCTCCCATCCATCTCATCCATCCATCCATTCATCCATCTGTCCTTCTGACCACCCACCCACCCATCCATCCCCCCCATCTGCCCTGGGACAGACCCACCCAGCCCTGCTGGATCCTCACCAGTCGTTCTCCTGCTCGAAGTAGCAGATGGAGATGAGCCTGGAGCCGCTGCCCACGGCGAACTTGTTCTCCCTGGGGCTCCACTTGACGCAGCGGGCGGCGCGGTTGATGCGCAGGATCACCAGGGTGGGCTTCCACACGCTGCCCTTCAGGGTCCACACGTAGGCGTTGCGGTCGGTCCCGCACGTCACCAGCCGGTTGCTCTCAGGGGCCCAGTCGATGCCTGGAAGGCAGAGCGGGCTGATGGTGGCCCAGGGAGCCATGGGAATGGGAATGGGAATGTGGATGGGTTACTCGGGGCTGGGGGCTGTTTGAAGGCAGAGTTGTTCTGGGTGGTCTCTGCTCCAGGGTCCTTCTTTACCCTACTCCCACATCCATCCCAGATGATCCCAACCCATCCCTTCCCACCCCTCCCACCTCAAAGCATTCCACGTCAACCCATCCCACCCTGTCTCTCCCATTCATCTAATTCCGTCCCTCCCCACCCCATCCCTTCCCATGCCTCCCACACCATTCCATTCCATCCCATCCCAACCCATCTCTCCTATGTAGCTATCATCCATCCATCCATCCATCCATCCATCCATCCAGCCAGCCAGCCAGCCAGTTTCATCCCACCCCACTCCACCCCTTCCCTTCCCACCCCTCCCACATCATCCCAACCCATCCCACCCCATTTCCCCCATCCGTCCTTCCCCTCACCCCCCATCCTTTCCATCCCAATGCATCTCACCCATCTTTTCCCTCTATCCATATCACTTCCCATCCATCCATCCATCCATCCCTTCTATCCCACCCCATTCATCTCATCCCACCTTATCCCTCCCCATCTCTCCCATCCCATCCATCCCACCCCAGGTGCCTTCTGATACACCAGGCCATCCGTGTCCTCGTCCCCTCCGCCAGCCGGGACTCACCCGTCACCTGCCCGTTGTGCTCCTTCAGCTCGTGGATTTTGCTCCACTTGGCCCCGTCCTTGCGGTAAATGTGAACCTCGTGGTTGTTGGGGCACAGGGCGATCTCTGGGGGGACAGGGCCGGGGCAAAGCCCCCCCTGGGTCAGGGGCTCTGTGGGGGCAGAAGGGCCAGGCAGCCCCCACCCACCCCTTCCTGGGCTCCAGGTCCCCCTGCATGGCCGGGGGGGTCCCTCCAAGCCCCCCAGCCCTGGCCCTGCACTGCCCTAATGCTGCAAATTGTCCCTAAGGGAAGGGAGAACCCCAGACCCAAGAGCCTGGTGTCCTCCTTTCCCTAGAGAGTGATCCCATGGGGCTGGTGGGATGGGATAGGATAGGATAGGATAGGATAGGACAGGACACGGGATGGCTGCAGGCGCACAGCTCCCAAATCCAGCCCCATCCTGCCCCTCCTGCTCAGCCGCAGCAGAGAAAGCCCTTTTTGTTCTCCCATGTCCCCCGTGCCGTGGTCGGGAAATGCCATCGGCCGTGAATCACCCGGCCCTGCTCTGCCCTGCTCTGCCCTGCTCAGCTCTGCCCTGCTCTGTGCTCTGTCTGCCCTCCCCACATCCCACAGTGCCTCCGGGCCGGACACTGTGCTGGCACCCCCGTGCCAGGCTCTGTCCCTGTGCCAGGCTCTGTCCCTGTGCCAGGCTCTGCCCCAGCAGAGGGATCTGGGGAACACAGGGGGCCATGTGCTGTCCCAGGCCCCAGATCCGTCTGTGGTAGGATTTACATCCCCAAACCCAGACCCAACCCAGCTCTGCCCTGTCCTGGGAGCATCTCCCACCACAGGGATGTTCAGCCAGGACAGTCAGTGCTTCGGGTTATCCCTGGGCACTTTGGGATGGGGTGCCCCGGCTGTACTTACGGGTCCGGTCCTTGTTCCAGGCATGGCAGCTGATGGGCTCCAGCAGGAAGCTGTGGTAGGCCATGGCTCACAGGCTGGGAACAGGGAGAGACCCCCGTGGCTGGTCAGGACGTGCTGCTCCAGCCACTGGGATAAGAGACTCCCAGCTCCCAGCCCCACTGAGCGGTCCCTCCCACCAGGATCAGCCCCGTGTCACAGCCCACGGTGTCCCCTCTCTGCTGGGTAAGGGGTTTCCCTGAGGATTTCCAAGCTCAGAGACTGCTCACTTCCAGAGACTTCCAAAATCCCACCACCAGCTCCTGCCCCAGCCGGCTGGAGCTCAGTGGGCACACAGGGACCCTGTGTCCATCCCGGGTGTCCCACCACGGGCAGCATCTCCTCTCTCCATCCCCACAGGGCCAGATCCACTTCCTCCTTCCCCACCTCTCATGTAGGAAGTGCCAAAGTCCCATGGAGGCACCTCCATCCCATTCCATCCCATCCCATCCGTGCTCAGTCCCGGTGACTCATTCCTTCTCCTGGCTGAGCTCCCACCGTTCCTGCTGGTCCCCACCAAGTGCTCCGGTGTCACCGGATGGAGCAGGTTCCCGCAAAGCCCCCTCCAGGTGCCACGGGACCAGGAAGAGCTGGGAGCAGCGTCACAGCCCCCCGGCCATCCAGCTGAGGGAATGCAGGGATGTAGGGAAACACCTCGCCAGGGCGTGACCGGCGGGGATTACTCACAGCTCGCTCTCGGCTATTTTGGGAACTCCCCGAACACGTCCCGTTTTCTTTGGCAGCCGAAAACGGTACAGGGGAAGGAAAAAAGTCCCTCCTAGCAAAGCTCCGTCCCTGGGCTGGGGAAAAGAAAACGCAAAGAGCTCCATCCCCTGCCTGCTGCACGCGGAGAAATCCCAGTGCCAGTGCACAGCACGAGCCCTGCTGTCACACACCCCACAGTGGAGCCCCTGCCAAACACCCGTCCCCACTGGCCAAGGACATGAGCAGGGATGAGCAGGCAGCTGCCCTGTCCCAGCTGATCCCGCTGGGATGCAGCACGGGGTGACCCAAGGAGGGTACGAAGCTGCTGCCATCGGGAGCAGCACCACGAGGGACGGATAAAATCAGCACAAGGGACACTGCTGTTCCCTCAGGAGAGGGGAAAATGTGTGAAATAGGGACCTGGCTGAAACCAGGACCCAGCTGAAACGGCTCCCGGGGGGACGGATGGGAGGCAGGGCACGCCATGGTGTTTCCTGGCCTTGACGTTCGCTAAGAAAAGAGCGATGCTTTGGGTTTTTCCAGGGGGTTTGGATGCTCAGAGGCATAAACCCCTCCTCCCTGGGGGTCCTGCTGCTCCCTGGTTTAATGCCACCCCGAAGGGATGAGTTCAGCTGCCGTGCCAGGAGCGGAGGCCGCCTCAGGAAGGAGCGAGGGCTGCTCGGCCCTTCACACTCCAGTCCCTCCCTGCAGGGGTTGGTGTTTCATTTCTCCCACAGCCTGTTTACAACCAGGTCCCTGAGCCCTGCTCCCGCCCTGGGGTGACCCACAGAGGCTTGGCAGGCCCTTTCCCAGCAGGAAAAAAGCATTGGAAGGGCCGTGGCTCTCCCCTTGCTCGACACAGGGGCTCGCGAGGAAGGAAAATGGGAATTTTCCAAAGGCCAGACAGGGCGGGATTGGGACTGAGAGCAGCTCCGTTATCTCCCCGGCCAGTCCAAGCAGTTCGGAAACATCCTTGGAGGAGATAACCAAACCTTGGCAGAGCCGAGCGCTGGGGGCTCCTCCCAGTCCCTGAAGGAAGCCACGCACCAGAGGAGCTGTATTTTGGGTTTTTGTGAGCCTGGAGGGTTTTGCACCCACCAGTGCAGGGACACGAGGACGATCCCACCAGGAGATGCAGGACCCCGTGGAGCCCTGGGGGGACATCACTGTCCCAGGGCAGAGGGAGGGCAGCTCGGACCCTCCTCTTCCTCACGCTGGGCAGAGCGGGGAGCAGCTGATTCCCGAGGAGGAGAGGGCGGATCGTGGCAGCCCTGGTTCTGCCGGCGCCAACCACGACGGGAGCCCCACGGAAGGACCCTTTTCACACCCCCCCTCCAACTGTCAGACCTCCAGCAAGAGGAAAAACCTCAAACTTGCTCCCAAATCTGGGCGTGGGGAGGGAGGGGGGGAACCCCAAACATCCCAAACGCAGCGACAGCAAAGCTCTCACGAGGGAAGGGGCTGCCCGCACCCCCCTGGCCCCCGCAGGGGGGTCCCCCACGTCCCCTCGAGCAGGGTGGGAGCAGCAGGAGCGGTGACAGCCACAGCCCCAGGGGACAGCCCCGGGTCCTCGCCGGGGTGGCAGAGCTGCCTCCTCCCCGTCCTTACCTTCCGGAGCAGCGCGGGCCGGGCTCAGTTCACGGACGGCGGGGCTCGTTCATGGACTCTGGGCAGTCGACACGAACGCAGCCCCGAGCGAGCGGCGGGAGCTGTGCCTGCCCCGCCGAGGCTGCCCGACTTCCCTTTTCCTCTCCGAGAAATGCAACCACTTCCTTACGTGGGCGTTGGGGGAGCGCACAGCAGCTCTGCGGCCGCCCTGCCCCTCTGCCTGCGGGCCGGGGCCGCTCCATCGCCGCACGTGGACGGGACACCGGCCCCGGGATGCTCCCGCCGGGATCCCGGTGGGATGCGGGCAACGCGCCCCGGGGGCACGAGGGAAGGACGCGGCCGGGAGAGCAGAGGGATGCCCGTCCTCCCCCTCTGGCCGCGGGAGTGTCGTTCACCGCCTGGTCCCTGAGGCGTTTCGGAGGGATGGGACACCCTGCCTGCCTCCCGGTGCTGGCCTGGAGCAGGGAACAGCTGCGCCTGGAGCCCACCCGGGGCGAGACTCCCGTCGGCATCGCCTCCCACGGCCGGGGAGATCCGCGGGGCCCCGCGGAGCAGAGATCCGGCCGCCCTCGGAGCAGCTGCTGCCGGTTCCTGCATCCCACGGAGCCCACTGGGACCCCAGCCCAGGCTGGGTCACCGAGCCTTGCCCCCACCCACCAGCCATCCACCCCTCGAGGTTCTTCCCTCCTGCTTCGGAGCAATTCATGTTTATCCCGTTCCCGGCCGGGCAGGGGAGCTCAGCTCCTGCTGGAAGTGCTGGGAAAGAGAGATGGGTTTCAGTTTCTCCCCCTTTCCCTCCCGGAGCAGGGGGATGCACTCACCCCTTCCCTGCCCGAGGGACTGCAGGACGGGCAGGGTCCCTTCTCAGCCCCAGGCATAAACACTGAGATCCATTTTCTCTCGTTAGGTGATTATTTCATCCTTTTTTATCTTACCTGGACCAAATAGTTTAGAATCCTTTTTTTTTTAATACTTTTAGGAAATAAACCACCAACCTTTCAAAGTGACTCCAAGAAACAAAGTCATTGCTGCTCTGTGAGAGATAAACATCTATTAGTCCATACAGAGATGGACAGAGCCAAATCCGTGCTCCTCTGTCCATCCAGGGTCACTCTGCTCCACAGGACACTAAACTCCATTATCCTCCTGACAAACCCCACCCATCCCAGCCATCCTACACACCAGATCCCCAGACTGCAAGACAAGCAGAGGTTAAACACTCATTATTTTATGTTTAGAAGGGAGAGGAAAGGAACTGGAAAAGCAGTCAGCTGTGTGCAGGGAGCACCTGAGAAGGATCCAGCTCACTTTGTGAGCTGATCTTCCACCCTCCCCCTTCAGCCACCCCGAGCTGAGAAACGAGCAGGGTATGAAGCAACCCTGGTTCCAGAGGAAGTGGTAAATTGGGGGTTTTTTTAAACACACTTCTGCATTTTCAACAGAAAGGAGTCTTGAAGGTTGTAAAGCAATGCCATGAGCCAGCTGATCCCCTCAGAGCACAGCCTGCCCCAGCCTCAAGGCAACACAGGAGGAGGAACCAGACCTGGGAGTGAAATATGTGCAAATGCCTCTGTGAGCTCCCGGGGCTCAGAGCTCAACTGCAAAAGGTTCCTGGAGACAAAGGCCCTGCACTGCAGCCAGACCACAGTGACATCTCTGGCAGGTGCTTCGTTCCTCACCAGTCACTACAAACAGGATCTTACAGGCCAAGCACTCGGCTCTCCACAACACCCAGGCCTGTGCAGCTCCAGGCACTTACAAAGCCCTTTGCTTTTCATTTGTCTTCCCAAGATGTGGCTCAGCAGATTTTTGCCTCACTTTCCACACGCAGCCCTTCTCCTCATCCCCTGGGCACTGCACTAGGAGCAGGGTTGGTACCAATCCCAAAAGGAACTACAAATAATTCCAGTCATTTGCCTCTGGAAAGAACGGTGGCCCACTGAGCAGACAATAAAAAAAAGACATTCAGGTTAATTTGCTGTTATTACGGATTAAATGCAAGGCAGACAGAATTAAGAGTAGTAGGATTAAATCATTCATCCTCCAAAATCATCACCTCAAGGGAACAGTTTCCCAGGAAGAAGCTCATCTGAACCTTCACATCCAGATCATCACAACTCCAGGTCCTCCTCTGTCAACTTGGAGAAACTTTCAGTTAAGATGAACTTTGCTTGTTTTAAGGCCATAAAGTATCAGTGCAAGGTTTTCCCATTCCCTCTCTCTCCCAATTAATTTAAACATCCCTTTTTTTAATTGCCTCCAATGAGCATCAAAGCAAAGAACCAGTTTTTCTCTTTTTTATTATTATTATTATTATTTCTAGCAGACAATTTACATAAAATTCCCCTTTTAAGTTAGTGATTCACAACTTCCTGCAATAAACTACTTAAGGAGCAGCTTTGGTAAAGAATGGAATGAAACAACCAACCAAAACAAAACAAAAAATAAAATAAAATAACAAAACAAAAAAGGAACAATCACAGCTGATTTTGAAACCAACACAATTCACCAAATTTAGATTCAAAAGGAAATCTGCCAAGCCATGTTTTCTCAGTGTTTCCAAACATTTCACCTTCCTCCTCCTCCTCCCTTTTCGGGTCTGTGCAGATGTGGGAGCTGCATTCTGTCGAGCAGTTTGTCCTGCTAGATCGTGGAAATCCATCTTTACATGATTCTTAGCCCTTGAATGGAGGACTCCAAGGTCTTGAAAGAGAGAAAAATCTTAAATCACTATCAGCTGCAGTAACTTGTGTTAAATAACTCTGTGTAACTGCTAAGAAAAACAAGTAAAAAACCTGAATACTTGAGATTAGATTCATATTTATAGATTCATGGAATGGTTTGGGTTGGAAAGGACCTGAAACATCATCTCATTGACTCCCCTGCCATGGGCAGGGACACCTTCCACCAGCCCAGGTTGCTCCAAGCCCTGTCCAACCTGGCCTTGGACAATTCCAGGGATGGGGCAGCCACAGCTTCTCTGGGCAACCTGTGCCAGGGCCTGCCCACCCTCACAGGGAAGGATTTCTTTGTAAAGGGAAGAATTTAATCCTAATTCAAGAGCCAGAGACCACACAAATCATTCCTTTCAGACTCAGGCATACATAAACTAGTGACACAGGCCTGAAGCTGCACTAAAGCAGCTTATAAATCACCTCCACCTCTTCTCTGGCTCCTCCAGAACTTTCTGGCATCACAGAACACAGAAAACCCATTCTTTTCCTAAGCCAGATCCCAGGAGTTTTGGGAAGGCCAGCAGAGACCTCTGTCGGCCAGGCCTCAGCAAAGCAAGCATGGGCATTGTTAAATCCTTTTAGGATCTTTACTGTGTTTTCCAACTGCTTGAGGCAACTTCTTACTACTTTGGCAAGTTAATTCTGAGAGGGCAGGACCGTGTTCTGCAGCAGAACAGGGAGCAGAGTCCTGTGGGATGGGGGCAGGAAGAGGCAATGGGCTATGTCATACCCATGAATATTCCAGCCCAACTGTGGCTGAGGCTGGAGGAGAAAAGAATTGGAGGGAATTCCTACAGGGACGTTATGTAATTCCATTAAAAAATTAAGTCTGTATAAGCACCATCTGCTAAACAAAGTGCATCTGCACTTATGCTGATTCTTGGATCTGTATTTCTTACGGAGTTCACAAAATGGTCTTGAATATTCCTGTCAGGATTTCCTGCTGCTAATGAAACCTGCCCTAGGGCTGAGCCCCAGGAGCTGATGTTAGAGATCAGAAAATAACCCCCCACCCCAGCTAGTTCACACAAACACAGCAGTAAAAGCATGTCTTTACCTTGAAATCCCAGATGGTCATTGCTCCATCGATGCCGGTGGTGCAGAATTTCCGACAATCCCGTTTGTCTATCTCGTAAATAGACACTTGGCTGCAAGCAGAGAGTGAGAGCTCTGACACCCACCACAGAGAGCCAGAAAGCTGGGAAATTTGGGTTGAATTCTACTCCTACTCCTTCAGATGGAGACATGAGTATATCACAGCTTACACCAGATTTTTGGTCAAATGCCTCAGAAAAATAAGCCAAGAAAAGGATGCTGAGAGCTCTTTCATGGCCTGGTGGGCTAAATGTTTTCCCTGGATTAACATGAACTGCCCAACATCCTCTGGGATCATGTGCTTTTTTTAAATGCAGGGATACTTTACTCAATTAACTTGGATCAATCCTTTTGATCAACAGAATCATGCAATGGTTTGGGTTGAGAGGGACCTTAAAGCTCCACCCTCTGCCATGGGCAGGGACACCTTCCACTATCCCAGGTTGCTCCAAGCCCTGTCCCACCTGGCCTTGGACAATTCCAGGCATGGGGCAGCCACAGCTTCTCTGGGCAATCTGCCTCAGGACCTTCACAGGAAAGAATTTTCTCCACATGTCTAACCTACATTTCTTTTCTTTCACTTTTTGAAAACAGTAATACCTAATAAATAAATACACATGGCAATAACATCTTAAACCAGGAAGCTGGGACGTGAATTCCTGCTCGAGGCGGATTTTGCTGACTAGATTTTGCACAGTGCCACCAGGCCCTTGGGAACTATCCACCTGTTATCAAATATGTGATAAGATAAGCTGTGTCCAGGTTACAGAGCACATCAGTCACCAGCAAACAGGAGAAGCATGCACACCCTGTCAATGATTAAGTGCAGTAAGTCCTAGAAACAGGCAGGTGTTAGGGCAAGACTACAAGGCACAGGGGATACTGGCTAAGCCCTCCTGGTAGAGCAAGGCTTGCAGAACATCCTGGGAAACCAAACTGGCATGGAGAGCACTCCCTCCCCTCGTCCTGGCAGCAGGGCACTCACGTTATACTGTTTTGGTGCAGGGTCTCCAGGGTGGTGTTGCGATCTTCCGTGGTGGCTCTTTTATCCATGTTCCGGAAGCGCTCCATGGCGGAAATGTTGCGCTGGATGCTCTGTTTTGGAATGTCTAGTTTGGAAACGAAGGTCAGCAGGCCACGGTCGTCACAGTTAAAGAGCATGGGGCAGCAGTCATGGCCCTGCAACCAAACACCAGGGAACCCTGTCAGGACACACGACCCGCCCGGCCCCGCCGGTGCTGCTGCCCCCTCTGAGTGCGGAACACAGAGACTGGCACCGAGCAAGAGCTTAGTTATGATTAGCTG